TCAGATGGTATCCACGATTTGTTACATTAGAACAATTTATATTAAAACGAACACGTGCAAAATGAATCAAATCATTTTTAGATGGAGTAATTGGTGATAATTTTGGTGCATGATCTTTCAACGACAATGTTGAAGCTTCAGGTGTCACAGCATTTGAATGATGTTCCGTAAAATAGCGTTTTGAACTCAATTGATGTCTTAAATATGACTGAATTAAGTTGAAACGACTATTTATCTGTGTAAATATTATATTCAATTGAGATTCACGTATTCGTTTTAATATAAATTGTTCTAATGTAACAAATCGTGGATACCATCTGAGATTACCAGATGGTACTAATAAAACTGTATTGTTTAAACACATATCATCTTTTAACATTGTTACAACATCTTGAATATTCAATGATCTACTTAATTCATATAATAATTTAGATTGCTCAAATTTATCAATATTAAATTTAAAATCATTAACTGATAAACATGGTACAAGTGTAACAAGATTTGTGACTGTATCATTAGCTATTGACACTGATAAATCAAAATAGATTAGATGATCAACAAAATCAATAGTTAATTCTGGTGCGACTTTGGTTAAATTCTCAAATACTAAATCACGAAATCCTAACGCATTAAGATACATTTTTCTTGAATTAAAAACTGTACAAAGACGTTCTTTTTCATTGCGAGACCATTTCATTGGTAGAGGTCGAGACATCTAAAAGAATAATCTCTATTCATAATTTTTTAGATTTTTTAATCATCAAGAAGTGATACATATGAAGCTATAAAATTTGTGTATCATCTATTATTCTAGTGAGAAATGTACCTGAATTAATGCATGCATAGATGCATCATCATGAATAAGTTTGAATGACTTTGAATGATGCTTTAATTTTACACTAATATTTTTCCATATAAGAAAATATTGTACATTTGTTATCGTTCTATTCGTTTCTAATTGTAAATTATTCACAATGTATAATTCAAGATCAAGTTGTGGATTATAGATACGAATTTTATCAATTAATTCATTAACAAAACGATCAATTTTTAATGTTAAAATTTTTTGTTTTTCATTATCATCTATTTCGAGTATAGGCGTTGATTGTGGAATAGTTGTTGACTGTCGAGCAAAAGCAACAGACGTTCTTCGTGTCATTTAGATGTTTTAATGTATTTATGAATAAACTTAAATTCTTAATTTTTTTATTTTTATTTTTTAATACTGCTTATATGAAATAGAAAGAATTTTTTTTTTTTTTTTATTTGCACACGTGTCAACAATCAAACAAACAGAAATTTGATCTGTTTTTCAAGGAAATAAAATAAACATTGGCATCTACTCGAGTAATTGGAAAAGAATATTGAAACGTTATTGCTTATCGTTTAAAAAGTTAAAAAAATAATATATCTTATAAGAAGAACAAGAATTCTTTATCAGTACATTAATCAACAATGTTTGATTAAACTTTGTATTCCAAAAATTGCATTCAATCTAAACATTTTTACATTCATTGAACACATTTCAATAGTTCAAGGATTCAAGATTTTAATGAATTAAAAATACATCTACGATATAAAAAAGGAAAAAATTCATAGAGTCTCTTATTATATATCAGATCAATAGGAAAAAGTGATTTTTTTCTTATCGTTAAATCTCAATTATAGTAATAGTATTTTCATCAAATAATAAATCGTTTTAACATGTATTGAGTAAGAATTAACAAAAAAATGACAGATTAATTTGTATATACATTTTGTCTCTTTATTTTTTCTTATTAATATTTGAATGAAAGGTAAAATTCATTGTTAGAGGCATAAACTATGCATACAACGACAAAATCAAAAATATTACATGGTTTGTTTTTTGTTTTTCTTCATATAATACAAATAACTGGTAAGGAATAACCAAAATATCTATCAATTATAATCAAAAATTACTCAAGTGTAAGGCACCGGAAATCCAAAGCTTAAGAAAAGTTTATTTTTGCGCTATTTATACATGGTTGGATAGGGCTCGTCGAGCTGAACAAGAATATGTGTGTTTTAATCTTTCGAATCAAAATTTTAATATCGAAACTTTAAAAAACTAAAAATTTTAAAATTTTATAAAACGGCTTATTTTTTAAAAACGAACGTGAAACTCGAACGCAATGTGTTTGGGACCCTTCGAAGTATTTTATTCTTGTTCTCCGTAAAAGACTGAATCTGAAAAATAGTGTTTCGATACTGTTCAAGTATGATATGACCTAAAAAATTTTAGTTTTTCATCAATAGCCAAAATCCCGTTCATGTTGACGCAAAAGGCTTCAAGTCTCTCTAGATAGGAGATGAAGCCAATATTAATATATCCTTCTACTCGTCACAATAGCACGAAAAAACTTATGCATCGGTTTTTGGAAAATATTGTTCCGTTATTGAAAAAATTACTTTTTTTGAAACAGGTAGCAAAAAGTAACGAAATTCACTTGTATTTTGCAGTTTTCACCGTCAAACTTCCATTTTTTTGCAAAAACAATGTCATTTGTGGGATCAGCATAAAAAAAAAGTTCAAAAAAAATAGTGAATTATAATTGCATCTTACATGTGATATAATACAGTATGCGTATATATTATTAAAAAATCTCCTATCCATTCTCCATTCATCATAAAAACTTGGTTCTTGCCTAGATCGTACGTATTCTGCGCCATACTCTAGCAGATACATACATGGCTACCAAGTTTGTCCAACTCAGGAGGAATATCTAAATTTGTTTTCTAAGTTTATACAGACTGATACTGTGACGTTTATATACGAGTGGTCAGTGCAGAACAAACGAGTGATTGGCTAGTCCAAGTACTTTGCTGAAGTGAATCAAGTGACGATACTTGGCGAGTACTTAGAGAAGAACTTCCAAAGTAACAACACTTGCCAAATCTTGTTCACACATTTCCAGATGCAGTTTTGGACGCTGATTCCATTAGTGAAAACCACACACAGTGGGCAATTTTTGATAGGCACATGGACATTTGGTTTTAAAGCATTCTAAGAACCTCAAAAGACTATTTTATAGGTTTTCGTATATGCTCTTTCCATAGGAGTGCTTTTCAGAGCTTTAAAGTATTTCAAACTGGGTTTTCTAGAGATCATTGGGTTTCTAGAGGCTAAAAT